CTCCTGCATCCTTATGCTGCAGCGGTTAGCTGCCACACCGGGGCGCTTACTGTGCATGGCGTGCACTTCCCCTCCTCCTGTTTCCTTCTTGTGCCTGGCGTGCACTTCCCCCCCCTCCTGCATCTTAATGCTACGGCGGTTATCTGCCACACCGGGGTGCCGACCGTGCCTGGCGTGCACTTCCCCTCCTTTCCTCCTGCACCCGGGTGCTCTCCCTCCTGTTTCACAGGGTTCTTCCCTGGCGGCTGGGGTCTGCTGCCCAAGACTGCTTCCTGATGGCGTTCGGGTGGTCTTGAATTCATGCAAGGGTCCACGCAGGGAATGGTGCTGCATCACATTCGCTGATGTCAGGTGCCCCCTGGCCTGCTCCGACCGACACCGCTGTTCCAGTGGGTCTCTCGCTATACTGCCTACCTTACGGTACCTGGGCCTCGGGTGCAGCAGGTGTGGCTCCGTGCGCTCGTTGGCCGACGTTCTCCTGCATGGACTTCGCTTTCGACAAGTGTTACAGGTTTGACTGCCGTTTGCAGTGTTGTTCTGGAATTCGTGCAAGGGCGTACACGGGGAATGGTGCTCGCCGCATTCTCTGAGGTCAGGTGCCCGCTGGTCTGGAATTCATGCAAGGACTCACACAGGGAATGGTGCTGCGTCGCAGTCGCTGAGGTCAGGTGCCCCCTGGCCTGCTCCTGGCTGGTGTCGGCCCCCAGCCCGGGAGGTTCCAGTGGGTCTTTCGCTGCACTGCCTACCTTACGGTACCTGGACTTCGGGTTCGGCAAGTGTGGCTCTGTATTTTCGTTGGCTGACGTTCTCCTGCATGGACGTCGGTTTCGACAAGTGTTTCCCGTTTGCAATATTTTCGGTGGTGAGGTTGCCCCTCTTCACTCCGGCGCCGACACGATGTTTCGGCACTTGTGTCGCCGAAGTCACGGTTGTCGTCTGGGTGCGCTTGTCGGTCCAGTTCGTCTTCGACTGCGCTTGCCTGACTTACACCGAGCGTTCGACCTGTGCGTGGTTATGGTCGCGCCGTCGCGCCATTTCGGTTGGGTTTCCTTGTTGGTCGCCACCTGGGAATTCCACAACACAGGGTTTGGGAGTATCGGCCGCTCACTTCGCTTGCCTTTTTTTGCTCCTGCTGCCTAATCTCCGCCCGATTGCTGTTTGGACGGTTTCCGATACGCTTCGCGAGCCAGTTGACGAACAAGTAACCCCACCAGCCCATCCAGAAACGATGCCCAGACGAGTTGCCTTGACCAGGGATGTGGGGAAGCTTGCAATGGACTAAAAGGTTGGGTAAGACGTCGCACTCCAGGAGAAGGAGGATGGAGGAGGAATCGGGGCATGAACGGGAGAAGGAATAGGAGGAGGAGGAGGAGGAGGAGGAGGAGGAGGGACAGGGGGATGTTGAAGAGGAAGGAGGACGAATGGGCGGAGGAGGAAAACGAGGACGAGGAGGAAGAGGAGGAGGAGAAGGAGGAGGAGGAAGGGAGAGAGGAGGAGGGGAGGAGGAGGAGGAGGAGGAGGAGGAGGAGGAGGAGGCAGGAGGAGGAGGAGGAGTGAGGAGGAGGAGGAGGAAGAGGAGGGGGAGGACAGCGAGCGGAAAAGCCAGAAGCTTCTTGGACGCCTCTCCGCGTCGCTTCGGATGGTTTTCGGGAGCTTCCTGGAGGCATCTTGGAGCGTCTTGGGGCTCTCTTGGTGGTCCTGGGCCCCCTGGGGCGTTATGGGTGCCTCTGGGGGACCTCTTGGGGCCTCTTGGGGGTCTCTTGGGAGCCTCGTGGGGGCATCTTGGGAGCCTCTTGGGGCCCTCTTACGTAGGGCCTCCTGGGCACCTCTTGGGACGCCATTGAGAGCCTCGGGTGCCATATTGGAGCCATCTTGGAGGAGATCGATCAAAGGACGGGCCGAAGTAATTTAGCGTTGCCCACCCACCAGGAGGCCACAATGTGGCCAAAATCTTTGTAAAATCAGTGATGCTGGCTTCCTCGCCGAGGCCATTTTGGACGCTCGAACTGCTCGCGAACGTCCCCCTCTAGACCCAGGGGGACGGGGGAGGGGGGAGGGGTAAACCCTTCAGCGAAGGGGAAGAGGGGAAGAGAGAAGACGGAAGAGAAAACGCTCGTATTCACTCACGCCCTAGCGGGCTGGCGGGAGTCTCCTGTGACGTGGCGAGCTTCTGCATTTGGGCACCCCGCTCGGCTATGTTTCCAAGGGTCGCTGTGGTCTGCCTCTTAGCGGCTCGCCCCTTGCCCCCCCGCCAGCCCCACGCGAGCATATATACGGTGGCAGCGCGTCGCGCTGCATGCGTAGCCTTCGGCTGGGGCACGCAGGGCAAGACCCAACACTGCATCGCGTGGCGCGTGGATGCCCGCACCGATCACGACTCCTCTCAGGCCTGCGGTCACTGCCTCGCCTGCTCCCTCGCGGCCCCGCCAGCGGCAAGCTTGCCGGCGGCACGGGGCCGGCGTCTCTCCATCGACGCGCCTGGCCTCCGAGCTCTCGGCCGCCGCTGCCGCCGCCGCGGGCACGGCGGCGCGGGTCTGACCGCGGCCACGGTCGCCCATGCCCTCCACAGGCCTCGGAAGACATCAGCGAGCACTCATGCCACACTCATTTGTCAATGTTCCCCCAACTGATCAATGTTGGCGGTGGGCTGAATGAGTGGCGCTTCGACCGCGGTCTTCCCCGTGCGTGCCAAGCCTGATTTGTGGGACAGGGGGGGTGTCCAAACAATTGTTTCCCCCTGCGGAATCTCGCCGAAAGGGTCAACGTCCTCGCCCATGTCCATGGTGGAAGCGCGCGCCGACCTCTGGACACGACCTCGATCGTCGCCTCCGTTTCGCACCGTGGGTCGATAGTCGGGGTGAGGAGGTTCTGGCAGCTTCCTGCGCAGGGTCAATTGTCACACTTTACCTCCTGATTGGAAATACCGTGATGACCACCGTGGCCCATCCTGTTGTAAATATTGGGATTCCCGAGCCCATCCATCCCACTGTCAGCGTCCACGCCGCCCACTGGATTAAGTGATCAGCTGGTTCTGCATGGCAGAACTGAAAGGAAGAATCCGGGTCGTCGTGTCGATCCCAGGGTCACTCACGTCATCATCTCCACCAGTTTCTCCGCCACTTGCTCCGTACCGCCTGCCCGAAGTCAGGGCCGTCCTGGTAATCGCCGTCGTCGTTCCCCTTTCCTCCCCCGACAGGGGTGGGTACAAGGCATGCGGCAGCGGAGGTGATCCCGCCGTTCGTAGGGGCTTCGGCCACCGGGCAGTCGACGTCCCTGGAGCGCGAGAGCCCAGGTCACCCGGGCATCGGTCACCCCCGCGCCCGCGGCCAGTCGATCCTGAGCCTTACCTCCGCCGCCGTGCCTGGCCGAAGTCGTTCCCCTCCCTTCCCTCTCGGGGTGTGTACAGGGCTGGCCGCGGCATAGGCACTTCACTCGTCCCCCGGGGGTTCGGCCAGTCGTCCGTCGATGGCCTTGGCGTTAGGGGCCTCAGGTGACTGAGCTTCGACAACCCGCGCGCCCGCGGCCAGTCTACTCTGAGTTTGTCTGTGTTTTCGGCTCTGGTCGTCATCACGGTTGTCGTTTACCTCCGTTCCCTTCCCAGGGTGGGTGCAGGGTTGGTCGAGGTCGCAGGTTACTCCCTCGTGTACTCCTCTGAGTGTGAGTACGGTGGCCCGCGCCTCGTTGCCAATCAGTCTGCTGTTGCTGTCGCCTTCCAGCCTCCTGCAGCACGACCTGGACCTTGTCGTCCTTGCTTGCGCTGGCTGGAGAACTTGGAGCAGCAGTGCCAAGAGGAATACCAGCTGCGTCCACACTCGCGGCTGCTGCCCCCGTCGCCGTCCCGTCCTCGGCATGGTCAGCAGCAACTGGCGGCACTGTGGGTGCGGGCGCTGCGTCTGTCTTGGCTGCCCGGGTGGTTGTTGCAGCCGCTCCGCCTTCAGCGCGGCTCTGCCCCTTCGCCCCGAGGCGCCCGCGCACCACCCGAGCCTCGGTGCGCGCCTCGTCCAGGCTGCTCGCTGAGTCACCGAACAGTTCCTGCACCTTGGTCCTGAGTTCCATCACGAACCTGTTCTGCAGGGCGATGAACGCTTCCTTGGCGCTCTCCTCCACTTCCAAGTCATCGGACGCGAACGCGGGGCCCGGGTCGAAGCTGGGAGCCTCCCTATTCCAGGGGCATCGTGAGGTTGATTGCGGCCTTTGCATCGGGTTCGCTCGGGCCTGTGTCCGTAACGCCTCTTGGCCCTCTCCTCTGAAGAGCCAGGAGCGCCTCTTCAGCATCCGATTGGGTCTGCGCCAAGATCTGTTCTGCCTGTTTTGAGGTCTGCTGTCTTTCTTCGTACCACTCCAGCGTTTTCCCCTCGCTTTCTGTGCATTTCTTGGTCATCGCACTCTGGTGCACTTGGCTGGGATCGACGTTGTTCGTCTGGGGTGCTGGGATATGCTGCTTGAGCCCGTCGATGGCTGACTTGTCCAAGTGGTGTGCCACCTGCGGCAACGCCCGCAACAGCTCCTCAGCTGTCTTGGTCGCAGCTCCTCCTTCCTGGTCATCCTGGTAGTGCCGCTTCTCCCTGTGTTGCACGGACTCGTTACACCAAATCTCTTTGGACACGCGACTTATATGGGGGAGTGGGTTCCAATTCCAGCCGCTTGCCACGATTGAAGCACTTCGGCCTTTCTTTCCAGTGCCACTTGAAGCTGCACGACGCACATCGTACATATTCACCCTGCTGTTCCCCGGACATGTGCTGACTGTTGCTGGAAGTCGCCCTGCAGGGCGTGCACAGAATCGAGTAGCGTTGAACTCACCCACGGCAGCGCACAACTCAACCACAGGGGCTTTGGACAAAATTTGCAGACTTGCCGCGGACCAGCGGTATCCACGTAGTCCACTAGGAACCATTTGCCTTGAGCCAAATTGGCTACGGAGGGGAGGGAGGAGGGAGAGGACACGGAGGAGGTAAGGAGGAGGCAAGGAGAGGTGGTTGGAGGGGAGGACAGGGGAGGATGGGGGGACTACTTACTTCCTCTCCTCCGCTCTTCCCCTCTGTCAGCTTTTCACCACTGCAGTGGTAACGGCGGGCCTGTGCTTGCCGATAGGTACGCGTTTTTTCTTCTGGAGTTGCCTGTGGGCCCTGCGAGCTCGCTCCGTGCTGGCTCAAGGAATTTGGGTACCAGATTCCGGAGACGCCACTCCCAGATCTCCGAAGATACATTTTCCCATCGCAGCAATTCCTCGGTTTTGGCCTGTGGCACCCATCATCGGGCGCTGGGACCATCAAAGACGGGCCTAAGACGATAAAACTACTCCAGGGGAATGGGTTTGGACCTCTGGGCTCGCGCATTGCAATTATTCGATGCTAAGAATCCCCCATATGTGCATATCATAACTTGTGTCACGTCTTGCTGAGGAACTCTTCCTGTGAGCATCCGGGTGTGAAAGCGACTTCGTGTAGACGACAGGCGCGACAACGACGACGACAGCGACGACGTCAGTGACTCTCATCCCTGACAGATCTCTCAGGAGAGACGAGGGAAACACAAGTTGAAGAGCGATGGTCGATTCTTCTTGCCACTTTGACTTCGACATCCAGGCATGCGCGCATGGCGTTGCTACGCCTGTTCTCTGGCGTGCTACTCGCGGCGCATGCTGGCACTGGGGGTGCCCAGATGCCACGCCGGCCCTATCGCTGTAGCCACCTGCGCGCCGGAGCGTGCCCGATCTGAGCGTGACCAAGTCGGAGTGCGAGCGAATCTGGGTATGCATGAGTTTGAGCGCGGGCGAGTCTGAGTGCGAGTGGGTCTGAGTGCCGGTGAGCCAGAGTGTGAGGCGAGTCTAAACTTCAGTGGGTCAGCGAATGGATATGAGTGAGTCTGTGTAGATATGAGCGAGTCTGAGTACGAGTGGGGCTGAGCGCGGGTAAGTCTGAATGTGATGAGCGAGTCTGAATTAGGAAGAAGTGCTGATGAGTACGTCATGAGTGCAAACGGGTGCGTCCGGGTGGGGAAAAGGACTGCGGGGAGGTGAGTGAATGAGGAGCGCAGAAGTCCAAAGATAAATCTGGGGGGGGGACAGGACAACCGCTTGAGACGTCCCCACAATCTGAGCGCGAGGGGGCCCGTGAAATACACCATGGCGGCTCCCAGCGGAGTGCCCAAGTGCCACGCCTCCTATATCGTGGTGAGCAGTGGACCAGCAAATGGGGAGAGTTTGGGGGGCAGACGTACGCCAAACGCCTGAGACATCCCCAATGGACAAGCACAAGCGCGACCCGGCGAGTGTTATGCCCACTGGCGGCTACCCTTTTGGGTGCCCAAGGGCCACGCCTAAACATTAAACATCCCCACAAGTTGGGCGCGAACGGGCGAGTGTCACGCTCCTTGGCGGTTCCTCCCTGGGGTTAGATCGCGGTGAGCAGTGAGCCACCCAAAGCGAGAAGCCGGGGGGGCAGAAGCCGGCACACCGCTGGAGACACTCCCACAGGCCAGGCGCGACCTGGCGAGTGTTATGCCCCCTGGCGGTTCCCCCTTGGGGTGCCCAAGTGCCACGCCTGTTATATCGCGGTGAGCAGTGGACCACCATAAGAAAACATCGGCGGGGCAGAAAAAGGCAAACCGCCTGAGGCGCCCCCACAATGTGGGCGCGAACGGGCGAGTGTCATCCCCTATGGCGGTTCCCCTTTGGGGTGCCCAAACGCCACGCTTGCTGTATCGTCGTGAGCAATGAGCCACCAACAAAGAAACGTCTCATGGCGGAAGAAAAAGGTAAACCGCTCATCCCCGCAATCTGGGAGCGAACGGGTGAGTGTCATACCCGCTGCCGGCTCCCCCTCGGGATGCTCAAGTGCCACGCCCGCCATATCGCGGTGAGCAGTCCACCAAAAAATTTGGAGCGAGGAAGCGTGTGTCGGAGCGACAGAAGTATGAAATTGTATGGCCGAGCCTGCGTCCGAGGCTAATTCCTTGAGTGGGTACGAGTGACCCTGAGTGAGTCTGAGCCTGAGGGAGTTTAAGTGAGGAAGTGATTTGGTTGAGTCTGCGTGAGGGACAGAGAGCCTGTGATGGACACTGCGAAGAAGAGTTGGGTCTGTGATGGATCCCGTGATGAGCGCGACAAATCTGCATATGAGTATCTGAGTGATCTCAGAGTGAAGCAGAGGGAGGACGAGGAGGAGAAGAAGAATAAGGGGGAGGATGGTCCGGAGGTTTTTTAAGACATATCAAGAAGGTCATCTCAGGATATGGGGAACTGAGATCGTCGGATTTCTGGAATGTTGGCGCCCGCTTGTGGGGGCGCCACTTCCGATAAGGCAGGTCCGATTCGAGGCTTTACCCACGACCCCAGCTTGGGGGATCGATCTTCGGGGATCCTAGCAGGCGGTGGATCTGGACACGCTCGGGCCGTGACTAGGGCCCACATTTATCCACTGTCGCATCGCCGCCTGCTCTGGTCCCCGAAGGTCGATCCTCCAGGTGGTGGTCATGGATAGGTCCTCGCTTCGCAGCAGGTTCGTGCCGCCTTCCGAAATTTTCAGTGCAGTGTGCGTGCGAGGGCGAGCCCAATGATGCTCGCCCTGGCACAGTCTCAAACATCGCAGGGCCTCGAGCGCACCGCCCGCACGCGCTCGGCCCGAGCATGCTCGGATGGGGACGGGGAAAGTACCAGCCTCACTTGTGGGATGTGG